CAAGACTTACCCTTAACCAAAGATTTCCCAAGTGATGTTAGGAACTTTCACATTATACGTTAGCTATTATTCCAACTCAGGTTAGGGAATTCACGGTAAGGTTGTTGGATCCCAATTTTTAACAAGTATCTTTTGATAAACAATGATATCTAAGTGGGGTTATTCATTTCACAACATATGGTAGGAATTTTTTATAGTTCAAATGTGAAATTCTCAATTAACGTTATTGGATACCATTATCTGACATGTCTCTTAGTAGTAACATTAGCAATATCCCTATACTACGTTGGTGAATTCAGCAGTCTTATGTCATGACAATATTTATACTTGCATATATTTAAACCAATGTTTTTAGAATTGGACTGGACATTGAACCGAAAAAGTCAGCGGTTCACGGTTCATATGGTTCAGCCAGTTGAACCATTATGACGTAATAATTAAATTAAAAAAATTATATATGTATATAATAATTTAAATATAAGAAATACATATGAAATTGCTACTTAACTTAAAAAAATTAAATATTTTAAGTTTATCATGACTTAACAAGCCACATGATACAATATAATATCAAATGATTAAAAAAATTAGTCATTTTTTAAAAAAATTGATAAAAAATAAAAAAAGTTTTTTTTGAATAGTCCAGTTTTTAAAAATCGGATCCGGTTCCTAGCTTGATTCAGGTTCCCGGTCCGACCGTCAGTTTAAAATGGCTCAATCCAACTCAACTCTTAAAACGGGTTTTTTCTATGAACCAAACTGATCGACAGTCTAATTGGTCTGACCATCCGATCCGATTTTCAAAATAGTGATTTAAACCTAAAATATGCATCAGCATTATATTACACTGATTTTAATACATGTACACCATATTTGCATCCCTTTTTACATAAACATATCCCATCTACCTAAATAGCACCTATGTAGTCTGCTTACTAAAAAACAACATAGACTGTAATCCTATTTACATAACTTGTCACCTCTACAAGTATAGAAAATATGAGATGGGTGTCTATACAAAAGGTCATTCAACAATAAAATGCATAAAATAAATAAAAACCATATGCATTTCAATTTCAAACTAATTAATATGCATATGATTTTTATTTATTTTGTGCATTTTATTATTGAATGACTTTTTGTATAGACACCCATCTTATATTTTTTGTACATATGGTTTTCACCCTTTTCAATCCCTACATTGGATTGGAATTCCTACACCTATTTTTAAAATGTCTAGCTTGATTATATCTTGAGCAATGATGTACTTTTTTGTTCTGAAACCGTGACTTTCTTTGCTTGGTAAGTGATTGTCTTGGGGGACATGCAATCAGTAGTGATTGCAAAAAGATATTGTTTTCATAATCTTCATAATGTAGCTCAGTCAACTGAGGCATGTCAATGATTCCATCAAAATCATTGTGGAGCTGTAGATTTTTCTTATGCACTGATAGTGTAGCATTCTTCAACATATGAATACACATTACCGTGAACTAATTTTATTACTGCACATACATGTGCACAAGGAATTTCTATCATCTGTCATTCTTAACAAGAGTATTCTCATAATATTAGATTCACTCTTAAGTCATTATTTCCTACTTTCACTAGTATCATATTTACACTATAATGTTCAGCCACCACAATTTCAGCTCTCAATACATTCTCCCTCAACTTGCTTTAACAGGAGGTCCAACTTCGTTTGACCAATTCACTATTTCTATCTTGTTATTGTATAGCTTCCTCGGTAATTTTGCCTGATGTTCATTTATCAATGCACATATATGATATTTTCTCTCTTTCGCTAGCTAAGCATTGAAAGATTTAGCATGATTTATTGTTATATTATCTCACCTTTTGTATGAAAATCTTGCTAAGACCCAACAATCTATATCCACATTTGTTTCTAACTATCTTGCCAACTATGAAGAGAAAACTATCAAATGACTTATAGCAATATCAAATTATATTTCCAACCTTACATATGCAATATTATCCAACAACTTAAGTGCATCTTCCTTGGTTATCTCATTAATCCTTCACATGCCTCTATTAATTTTTGTAAATTTATAACTGTAATTTTCTTTGACATGATGATAACAAAAAGCATGTCGATTGCCATCAAATATTACACGCACTACACTAATAATAGCATTATGCCTATCTGACACTATGGTCAAGTGAATTTGTTGTGTGATCTCTCTCACATTTTTAAGAAACCAAGCCCAATTATCATATATTTCTTCACCTACTATTGCATAAGTCAAAGGGAATAAGTCATAATTTGAATCAATTGCAAAAGCTATTAGCAAAGTCCCCTTATCTGGACCACTTAAATGACTTCTATCAATAAACAAAATTAGAAGAGCACCATGGAGAAACCCTTTAATTCAGCATCCATATGCAATAAAAAGTTTATTAAATTTGTAATTTGTCGATGCAACTCACTTTGCAATTGTGCTTAGGTTCGTCTCCTTCAATTTCTCACAAAGTCATGGGATCAACATGTATGATTGTTGTAGAAGCTCATGTATTTCCTCTAATGCTCTATCTTTTCCCCTCAAAACTTGCCAATATGTGAGGTTTAACCCATACTCTTTAAAGAAGTCTTTTCTAATTTGAAGTTTTCTCTACATTCCCCTTCACAGCATCAATGATGATTGATGATGTCAATTTTGAGCTAGCCTTTTGCTTTAATAGGAGGTTGTCTTGAGTAGAATGCATGTATTCGTTGTGAAGTTTTTTCACACACAATATAGAGATTGTTTTCCCAAGAGCATAAGCTGATATCTTCCACTTACAACTATCAATATTGCATTTGACAATCATCTTCTTAGGGTTGTTTCTCATAAATATGTAACCAAACCTATGAGTAAGGTTGTATTTATATAGTGCTTTTCTGAATATAATTGTATCATTAAATATCTGACCAACACTCATAAATAAATCCTTCCATTTTACTAAATTAACCTTATGCAGTGGCATAAGAGTATTTTGTCTTGAACATAGCAAAAAGGGTGATATATTTTTAAGCTCTTGCCTCCAGGGAGATCCTGGCAGTGCCCATGGTAACAAATCCTCCATCCTACATTCACAATTACTCACAAGTCAATATAAATGGTGATTAAACTAATTAAAAATACAAATAACTAAGAACAACAATTTACTCTATCGAATAATCCATTGCTCCATGTATTTTATTATAATTTGTCTCAACATACACATGTGCTGACTTATCATTATACTTTATCAAATGTTGTACTCTCTCATCATCTAACAAGTCTATGTATGTGTTTTCACTAAACTTCACTATAAATTTCAAGTCAGCTGCACCACTTTCAACTCTTGTCAATGATGACATCATCCTCAACGACTCTTCATGATTTATGTCTTCTCTAATCAATTTAGAAATTAATCTCCCACCTTTATAGGTCATCTTTCCTTGTGAATCTTTTACAAAATGTCTATCAACATGAAAATAACAAATTACCTCTTTTGCTGAAATACTTGCCATATGAGAAATAAACCTAGAACAACTAGAAGCAACATATAAATTTATTACTTCACAACTATTCATTCTATAAGCCTAACCATGACTACAGAAATTCAGCATCCACGTTATATTTTTCAACATTCATTCACTTTTCATCATAGATCAAAAAAATTCAGCATCCATGTTATATCTTTCTTATTTTTCACTCCTCAACTTTTTCAATCGTGTCGTTCTCAGAAATCATTTATTGTGTATGTTTATATATATAGTTTATTAATCATTAAAAAGATTACTTTTTTCTCTAGGTATAAAAGAAAAAGAAATGGCGCAAGACATCATTTACAAAGATTAAAAATTCTATGTGCGTGCATGACAGAGGATGTGTGTAAAAGAAGAAAACAGAGCAATGGAAGAAGAAGATGTAGATTTCTCTTACATGCATGAAAGAGGACAAAATGTAAAAGAAGCAATACATATAATTACCTATTAAAAGAAAAGAGAAGACAATGACTTAAATGATTATGCACTCCACTAATTTTTTTCTAACATTTTCAGCGGAGCAAAGAGCAAATTTGATCAGAATTTTTCTCGTCCAAAAACAAGAAGACAGAGCACACAAGATGAGCTTCTTTCCGTTTCCTTTCAGTGTTTAGTGAGGGGACAATTTTGTAAAGTCAGTTTCTTTTTTTATCCATAGTCTTTAATTAAGATTTCTATATTTTAGAGTTCTTAATTGAGATTAATGTTCTTTAGAGAGTCCTTAATTGTCATTTTCCCTCGTATTTATCTAAAATTAAATTGGTCTTTTGACACCTATATATCATTCTCCTAAATTTTGTTTCTTGATAATTGATTTTTATTTTTAAATTTTTCATGGGGGATTGAGCTACGCATTCCATAACCATACTGGTTTCCGCAGCACATAACAAAATAAATAAACATGATGTGTGATAAATGCAATACTAATACCCTTCAACATGTAATATGACGCGTTGGCCTTTAAAAAAAAAAAAAACGATAGTAAAGCCAGCCACAATTGATGTGTGATAAATGCAATACTAATACCCTTCAACATGTAATATGACGCGTTGGCCTTTCAAAAAAAAAAAAAAAACCTGTAATACGACGCAAGTGCTCCTATTTTCAGTGATCTGATCAGTCCCACGGTAATTATCAATTTATCATTGCACATGACTTGATCCAACAAGGGATAAGAAACTCGATTCATGAGACCTACGTAACTTACAGGTGCGAGAATAAAACTCACTATTGGGTACGACACGGGCAAAATCCCGAATGCCACTGCAAAAGCAGGGTCTTCAAATTAAGAAGACACACGTTGGATCTCTTGCATGCCTACCGCAGATTTTGGAAATTCTTTGAATTTATATGTTTATAGATTAAAGTATTATATACTATAGAAGGTTTCAACTCTCCTAGATCCACCACTTCAGCAGCAAAGAAAGAAAAAAAAAAAAGAAAGGATGACATTTAAAAACATGCATGCTTACCAGAAATAACAAAGTCTCATTCCATTTGTAACAATTTGGCAGTGAATTTACGTGCTCTGCTATAGCAGTCATAAGTAGTTTACAAACAAGATACAAAAATTAAATTTTATTTCAACTACTAGGAGTCAAAGACAAAGCAGCGTTGTGTAAACAGCGTACAGGATCTCCACCATCAGTAATGGAGACTGGATTCCATCCAACAAGCCACCAATCAATGCCCTCTTTCAAATCCAATGCGAGTCCTACCAGAACCTCCCTCATGACCGTCTCGCATTGAAGAACCGCCACTTGCTCTCATAGTTCCTCCACTACCAACTTTTTCCATGGCTTTCTTGCCCTTTTTCACTTCCGTCAAGAACTGATCCAAGCCAAATGGATCAGCTTCTTCATTTTCAAATTCAACTGGCCTATCTCTTGGACCTGTCCTTTCAGAAGCACCAGCAAATCCTTTATCAGGTTTAAAGCGATCAGTCTTCATAATCTTCTCCAATTGCTCATCCGCACCTCCATAAGCATCAGAATCCATATCTTTCTTTGGCCTGTACAAGGTTGAGAGTGTCGGCTGAGCAGTAAACAAGCCAGAGTCATAAACATTATACTGATCATCAGTGGCAAACCCAGAAGATATTCCTTTATCCTGGTTGAACAGCCTTTCGTCATACATAACTTCTGTCCCTGGCTTTGTAGAAGCCATGCCAAGAGCGACTTTCTCACTAATATCACGATCCCTATCTCTTGTAATCTTGCTTTTCTTCCCCATTGCTGCATCCTTAGCCTCTAATCTTCTCTCTCTCTCCCTCTCTCTCCGTCGTTCCTCACGAATTTTTTCTCGTTGCAGTCGTTCCTCCCTTTCCTCCCTTGTCTCCTTAGGGTAATTCTTCTCCCTTTCCCGTGAATGCTCATAATCAACTCTCATGTCAGCATCTTCCATGCTGCTCCTTTCAGAAGGAATGGCAACAGCAGCTGGAGGTGCTACACCAGTTCTCTCTGAGCGTGCTTTCTGAGCCAAAGCCCTCAGCTCCTGCTCTTTCCGTTCCTTCTCCTTCAGAAGCATCTCCTTCTGAACCTTAGACCTCATAGCAACTGCTTCTCTAGCCTTCTGCTCTGCAACATACAATGCCTCTGAAAGCTTTGCAAAATTATCATTAATCTGAACATCTTGAAGGCCTCTCCCATCAGCTGCAAGACGCTTATCAAGTGGGATTGTGTAACCTTTAGGATTCTTCCAATTTGACATACAAGGAGGTATCTTCCAATCTTGCTGATCTTTCACAGTAACAGGCCTAGGAGGGGAATGCATCACTGGCACAGGGGGAGAGCCAGAAGCCTTTGGAACTCGCTTATGCTTAAACTTTGGAGGCTCAAGTGGATCCACAGGCATCTCAACCATCCTGATAATCCTCTCTTTTGCCCCGGAATTAAAAGCTCCAGATTGTTGTGAAGGCTTATACTTGATAAACTTTGCATCAGATGACTGTTTAGGCACATTCTTTGGTTGTGCTGCACTCAATCTCACATTAACTATCTTCTCAAGTGCAGCTTTTGTTTCCTGTGTTGTTTCTTCAATCTCTTTTTGCTCCTCCTCATCATCCATACCATCTTCTTCATCATTCTTCAAAAATTTTGGTATCAGATCTTTCTGTTGTGAATATACAATTTTTTTAGCATTTTCATTCTGCTTCACTATTGCATCATATGCTACATTCCCATGGGCATCAACTGTCACAGGAAGAATCTTTGACCCTGGTTTTGACGATTTATCCCTCCCCATGTCAAGGGGGTACTGAGCAATGTGGATCTCAGGAAATGCTCCACCATCCCCAAAATCCTCTACCTTTCTAGGAACAAAACCCGCACGCTTTAAATAAGGAGGGACAGGCTTATGCTGAATCACTGTCGATTTTTCTGCCTCAGATGTGCTGCTGAATCTCTGCTTGAACCACGGATCACTACTGTGGTCATAATATGAGGTTGACGTTGATTTCGCTGGGGGAAGAAGGTCTTTCAAGGCCGCCATTATTTATAAATATTTCCGAAGCCCTAGGAGAAATAAGGACCTAAAATGAACCAAATTACATTATAATGAGTTGCTGTAGACACAAGCATAGGCGGACCTATCTACACTCGGTAATCTTTGAAATATGCATGGTTGATATAATACCCTTTTAATTTTTGTTCCCGATACTTCGACACAACTTGAGCCAAGTCGTTTACAAGATCATACATCAAAAATAGCCTGAGAATTTTCTAAAATTGATAATATTAAAAAATTAATAAACAGAACGCCAATACACAACAAATCCAACCCTGCATAACAAGACAATCAAATCATACAAGTCGCTAGTAATCAAAATGAAGAGGAAAGTATAATAGCCAATTTCACACCATTCAAGCAAGAACTAGTGAAAAAAAATTAAACTCTATGCAAATATTCCCAAATTCAAAAGCGTCAATATTCAGCGATTACACGACCAGATTCAAAACCAGATTGAAATGAAAAATTTAAAACAGAGCAAGGACAGCCAAGCGGGGAACAAATTCAAAACTAGATTCAAACCCAGATTCAACAAATAAATCTCATCGGATTTTGGGAGTAGAAAAAGCCCTAGGGTTCGTGCCTTCTTCACTGCTTGCCCGAGAAAAACCGGGCAGCGCTGACAACGGCGGACAGCGTCCGACGGAGTATGGAGTGCTTGTTCGTCGAGGAAGAGAACTGGATCCGCTACTCACGAGAGGGGGTTTTATAGGAGTTATAATTAATTTTAGAAAGAAGAAAATTAGATTATTGCACGGCAAAAACAAACCGGGTAAGGGCGTAAGGCAACGAAAGCTCTGCTGGAGTCTGGATAAGGTTGCGTTCTGCCCTAGGAATTGAAGTAATGGCAGGATAATTAGAGGCGGCGGCGGAGCTCGATGGAACGCGTTTTCCTTATGCCTGTGGGAAAATTCCTCGCGGGCAGGGGCCGAATCACAAGTATTATTTGTAAATGAAGATTTTACTGTATTATTATTACTAACCGGGATTAATGGTTAAAAATACTGAAATACCCCTTACAAGGATTTAAAAAAAAAAAAATATGTGACTTGAGCACTAAAGTGTGTTTAGTTCGAGATTTTTGGAGAAGAGAGGACGCTAAAAAATTTTGGAGGGGCCTCCTCCCATATTACTCTCCTCTAAATTAAAATTTTTCATAAAGAAGCTAATTTTTTTAACTACTCTTATTCTTTTTAATATTTTAAATATATTCGTAGTTAAAAAAAAACTCACATTCATATCAAATTGTGCTTCACTCCTATACCTTAACTGACCTCATTAGATTTTTTTTTTTAAAAAAGTTACATTTCATTCAATTTTATTATATATTTAGTTATTTATTTTTTATAAAAAAATTGTTATCATTATAATTATTAGTTTAATTTTTTTTCATATATTGACAATATGATATGATGAGAATAAATTTTGAAAAAATCATGCAATTTAAATTCAAGTGTAAAATTATTTTCTACAAGAAAAAATTAAAAAATGTAAACTAATGTTTAAGGGTATAGTAGTAAATTAGTTATTACCTCCCCTCCCCTCCTAAACTAAACAAAGGATCATTAAAAATACATCTCCTTCCCTCCCTTCCAACAAAACCAAACTAGGTGACCTTGATACCCTCCCCTCCCTTTTTGTCCCCTCGAACCAATCACACCCTAATTTATGCTCTCTTAATTTTTTTAATTTTTTTATAATAATTAAATTCTACTCATGGTAAAGTTAGAGAAAATCACAGTGAAGGACCTTGAAATATTTTATTTACAGATAAGGATTAAATGATTTTGAATTCATCTTGTAGAATTAAGGGACTAAAATGTAATTAGATTTTAATGTGAAAAGATAAAAATATCTCTTATTTTTTAAAAAAAATCTCCTCACTATCATTGGACCACCCCACTAGACCAACCATTAAGAGCTCCGACGCCAGTGGTTAGACAGCCTACCGAAACTGCAACACTGATTACTAGACCAATAAGGGAGACAAATTATTATTATTTTCAAGATGACCAAGGGGGGTTTGAACCACATCCCCTTGGGGACCAAAAAAATAGTTAGTCATGAGGCTAACAATTCCCTTTAATTATAAAATACAAATATTTATATATTTTTTAAACTTTGTTTTCACTTTCCATACAAATACTTATTATCAGTTTAATAGTTATTTGTCATTTTATAAATGATTACTTATTAAACTACTAAGATTTGTTAAAAGATTTAATATGCAATAATTTTTATAAATGTTTACTTGTTTTTACTATCAGGAATGACAAGTTCTCATTAATAATTTAACAAATAATCATTTGTGACATGATAAGTCTCATTACTAGTTTTAAAATTTTTTCTTAATAATTTAATAGGAAAATGTTAGTAAAATAACAAGTTCATATAAGCCTTTGATGTAAGTTTTTCTATAATAAAAATAAGAAAACATTTATAAAAATCACTCCATATTAAATTTCTTTAACAAGTTCACATTGTTAATTTAACAAGTAATCATTTGTAAAATGACAAGTTTCGTTACAAGCTTTGAAAATTTCTCTTGACAATTTAATAGGTAAATTTTAGCAAAATAGCAAGTTCACATAATCTTTTGATATGTAAGTTTTTTGTAATAAAAATAAGTAAACATTTATAAAAATCAATTCACATTAAGTTTGTTAACAAGTTCTATTAGTAATTTAACAAGTAGCCATTTGTGAAATAATAAGTAACCATTAAACTCCTGACAAATATTGGCATAAAAATTGAAAACAAAGTAGTATACATACAAACATATATATATATATATATATATATGTAAAGATTTGTATTTTTCATTTAATAAGTTCATATTGGTATGTTAAAAGCTTATGTGAACTTATTATTTCGCAAAAATTTACTTGTCAAATTATCAAGAAAAATTTTCAAAGCTAATAATGTAACATCATCTATTTTAAATCTAGATTAATTAAGCTTAAATAGATTAATAAAGTGAATCTTTGATGTATGTGGCCAGAGAGACTTAACATGCGTGTTTGATCTCGATTTCAGTACCAAACACGGGTTTAAAGGAGAATCAGGTCGCCCGGGGATAAAAGAGGAAGAATTTCTAAAGGAAGTGATTATGTGCCACGCGCCAAGGTGTGGGGTTGGTCCGCCGCAGTGCATGCGTAACAACACGTGTAACACCCTCAAATTTACAAACCGATTTTTCGTAAATTATTAATTCAACAACTCACTTTTTTCATTGAACCCTTATCATACCCTTATCATGGTAGAAAAATTTCTACCATGATACATCCAAGACAATATACCACAGGTCATAAAATATCTCAAAAAGCAATTAGAACCATGAGGGACAGACATGATCCTCATAGCATGTTATTCAAATCAGGTCATAAATTAAAAGGGACAAACATAATCCTCTTGAACATATAAATGCATTTAATAAAAAGGATTAGAGTTTACATGCTCCACAAAAAAGATATGTCCTAAGTTGGCACAAGATACATTGTATAATCTAAAATAAGAGGTAACGTAAAAGATGGTGTCTCATACACCATAATTACACCTCTGATGCTTTCTCGGCCGGACTCGCTCCTGTAAAAATATTAACCACGGGGAATGAGACTTAAAAGTCCCAGTAACCAAAAATTAATATGTAATGATGCATGCGGATGTAACTAATCATGCGATTGCTAAGTGGGCACACAAAACATTTAACCGAACAATATTTTCAAATAAACCGAACAAGTATTTAATTGCATAACTGCACCTTATATCCTCATTTCGCCATGCTCAAACGCCAAATCACCCGGCCAAAGGTGAGTTGGACCAAGCGACACGCCACTCATTGGGTCCAATGAGGGCTTACCACGTGGTAATAATTAACCAAACAGAAATTCCCATTAACACCATACATTAAATATCCTGACAAGTCATGCATCATTCAAATATCCAAACAAGAATATATCCGAACAATAATATCTCATCATGATAAACAAAAATAAATTTTTTAACCCACTTGGCAATAATTTCAAACAAGTATATACAGTATTTATTTTCAATACTTCATAATTTTTCCCAAATAACAAAATAACACATAACCATTCACAAACACACCCATCACAACACATTAATAATGGTTACCTTGTGTCTTGAATAACAAGTTTCCCTTCACAACTCCTCTTTCACCACTATCTTTGTCAACACAATCTACATAGTTATTTCATTATACTATGTATTAATTTTACATTAAAATACATAACTCTAATTTAAAGAGTTAGAAAGTCTTAGATCTATAATCCATATTAACACTAATTTAAGATTTATGCCTCATTTAACTTTTCAAATTCTTTTCTAAAATTCTCGTACCCTAATAAACTATTTTTAAGCCTCAAATTACTTCTAGTATCACAATTCCGTCCTTCTATATTCTAAAAATTTGCCCAAAAATAAATTAAAAATTTTAGAATTATCTTGAAACCTCAAATCACCTTTCTATAACCTCAAAAATACCTATTCATACTTAAATAAATATTTAATAATCAGAGGTTCATCCCTACATCTTAGATTCCACATAAATTCGACTATATAGATCTAGATTTTAACTCAAAAATTCTTAAACATGAGTTTCAACCTCAAAAAAATATTCTATAATATTTATTATATCTCTAAGAGTTTTAACCTATATTTTTAATCCATCATATCATCAGATTAACTATCCTATAGAAAAATCCTAATCAAAATATTTACTCTATCCTACAAAATAATCATATCACTAGAAAGCTAATATTATTTAGAAAATAACTATAAAATTAATTTTGTAATTAAATAAATTTTTAAATGCTAATCTAAACAGGAAAGTTAGAACATACCTGAAGAAAAAGAAAATAATCCTCCCTTGCGAGAAAACGCCGAGCAACGTGAGAGAAAGAGAGAAAAATAATATAAAAATGGGATTGTGAGTCCCAAAATTATATTAAAAAAAACTATAGGTCTGAATTTAATTATTCAAACCTTTGGGCCATAAGTTGCAATTTCCTCTAAATTGCATCTTAGCCTCTCATGCTTCCTAATGCACACACCCCCTCCTTTTTATACATGAAGGCACCTCTTCTCTTCCCTCATCTAACCAATGTGGGACTTAGAAACAACAACCTTCTTCCCCCCCTTTTTTGTTCCTTCTACCTTCTCTTTTTTTTAACACACACATAAAAAAATATTTATATATTATATCTTAACTAAATATTGCTTATGTGGTTTTAAATTTAAATTTTTAAATTTATAATTAAATACCTAACCATAATATTATTTCTAAATAAGCTCAAATAATATAAATTCCTATTATTATCATTTTTTTCCTCAAAACCTAAATTCCACAATTTCTTTATTATATAAAAATTAGGATGTTACAACACGCCTGTAAGAAGCTCTTTATGCCATGCGCCACGGCACATGGCTAGAATTTTGTAATATTAAATCACGAATCTGAAGTGAAAAAGAAGAGGAAACAAAAGAGAATGAGAAAGTGGTGAAAAAGCTGAGCTATAGCTTAAAGGAATTGATTGTTAAGAGTAATTTGGAGCTCAT